CATTCACCCCCCTCGCTATATTCAAATAGATACTATTTAGCTACATTTCCTTCTTTCTTCTTCTATATTGATTTACTTATACACATGCCAGTATGCACATGACAGCTACAGTCTTTTACTTTTGTATGCTTACTGGCACGCCAGTATATCAATTAAACTGGCGTTCCTTTCCTATCTCGTTGACATTTTACTGGAATGTTTATTTATGCTTTAAAATGACAAATATTTGAACAATATCTACAACTTTTTTCTAGCTTTTTTTAAACTGACACAGAAATAAGTATTTATAAAGTTAAAAACCATAAAACCGTAAAAATGCCATTAAAATCGCAAAAGTACACTATCGAATAATATTTATTCCTTTACTAAGCAAATAAAACTAAAGCAACACATTTTATATCAATAGACTTCAAAAATAACAACTAAATATCCTGCTCGAGGGACCATAAGTTGCCGTTAAATGATATTTGTATTGCATTTATAACGAATTTAATAAAATTATTTCGTTATACGATGTTAATATCAACCAATATGTCTCAATTAGGCCCTGTCCCACTACTGGCTGATAGAGGGTCAGATAGCTTATGACGTCACTGTCAGATAAGGTAACAAAATCCGATATTCCCATCACAAATTTGACACGTTGGATTGTTATCAGACGATTTACAATACGATAGTGTCAGTGTGAGTGGGTGTGTACTGACAGGGTGTCATCGTGCGGCAGCCAGGGTCCAGGCGAGAGGAGGGGCTCGCCGAGCGCGGGGGCCGCCTCCAGGCGCGCCAGCAGCCGCCACGCCACCGTCTCCGCGGCTTGTCTCTGCTGTGAGCAGACAACGTGTTACTGTTGCGTGTATACATATGAGAGGTCTGTATTTGTATGTTTGGGGGTCCGTGTTGTATGTCTGTTTGAATGTATACATGTATGTTTAGAGGTCTGTGTTTTATGCCAAAAGGATGCGATCTTATGCAGTCGCTACACTTGGGACTGTGTGCAATATGTGTGGAAGTTGTATATTGTGTTTGGGGGTCCATGTTTTATGTCCGAGGGGTACATGCTGACCATACAAGTTGGGTGTCTGTATGTAATAAGGAGGTCTGTGTTATATGTTCAAGGGGAGCAGATCTAATAGTCCACACACTGTAGGGGGTGTGTGTAATTAAAAAGCTCTATGTCGTATGGTTTAGGGGTCCGTGTTGTATATCTGAGGGATGAGGACCTTATACAATTGCTACACTTGGGAGGGGTAAATACACTGTCTGTTATACGTGAGAAGCTGTGTCATATGTTTGGGGGCTTTTGTTATATGTCCGAGAAGTATGGATCTCATGGGGTCTGTGTGTAATATATCTGTGTGAGAACTGTATGTAATATGAGTAAGAGGCGTTTTATGTGTGTTCGTGTTTGATATGTTTGTAATCTGTATGTCATGTTTTTGGGGGTTCGTGTTATATGTCTGAAGGATGCGTACCCCATGCAGTCTATGTAATGTGTGGAAGCTGTATATCGTGGTAAGGGGTTCTTGTCATATGGACGAGAGATTTACCCCATGCAATCTCTTCACATTGGGGGTCTATGAAATAACTGTATTTCATTTTTGGGGGTCCGTATTGTATCTGAGGACTGCATATCTCATGGAATACCTACACTTGTGAGGTGTGTGTATTTCTAAGTATTTTGTTATATGTGTTGTTTACCTCGTGCAGCCGCTGGGGGTGTGCGGGGTGTGTGGGGGTGGCTGGGGGCTGTGTCTCAGCGAGTGCGAGCAGCACGTCGTATGTCTCCAGCGCGCGGTCTGCGGCTCGCAGCGCACTGCACAATGCCACCATAGACGACTCTTGCGCTGCGCATGCGCATGATAACCTGGAATGGGGTAGACAGACATATTTTCATTTGTTCAAAGTACAAGTGCTTTAATATAGACAATTAGTGGTATTATGTTTTTAAATATGCTATTGTTGTTGAACTCAAGGTCATTGGTGTTTTTATACATTTTTTGTACCAACGAAATTACTGTCAAGTATTATTTTATGGGATTGGTCCCGATCTATGGTTTTCCTTCCCTCGAGTCCAATACAGTGAGTTTTTGCTAGATTTTTTCGACGTGTGTTAATTTCTATAACTATGTGTGTTTGTTTATACCTGTGCGCGGTGTCGAGCGCGCGCGCCAGTGCACAGTCCAGTACACGACAGTCCGCCTGCAGACGGAGACAGCGCGCGCGCCACGCCGCCGCGCCCGCCTCCTCTAACACACGACATACATCAGTCTGTCTCCTAACTCTACACGTTGACAATAGTCTGTCTCCTTCTAACTTTACAAGTTGACTATAGTCTGTCCCTTTCTAACCCTACATGATGACTATAGTCTGTCTCTTTCTAACTTTATATGATGACTATAGTCTGTCTCTTTCTAACTTTATATGATGACTATAGTCTGTCTCTTTCTAACTTTACAAGTTGACCATAGTCTGTCTCTTTCTACTGTCGTTCGTGTTAGAACTTCTCTGTTATTTACACTGAACTAAAATTTCAATAAGACAAATTGAACCATTGCTTTTTTTGTATGTATTGAAATAACTCAAAAACTACTGGGACGATTTTAAAAATTCTTTCGCTGTTAGAAAGATAATTTATCTGTGAGTAACATAGGCTATATTTGTTTATTTATTCTAAGTTCACACAATATTATAAATGTGGAAGTTTAGATGGATGTTTGTTAGAGTTTGTAGCCTAAACTGCTGAACGGATTTCGATGAAATTTAGCATAGATATAAAAGATAATCTGAAAAATCAAATAGGCTCTTTTTTTTTATTCCACGCGGCCGGAGTCGCGGTCCAAAGTATTACATATTTAAAATACATTACCTGTGTGCGGCGCCAGCGGCAGCTCGCAGCCCGACAGCGACTCCGCGCACACTGTGCGGCTCTGGAATATATTTTTGTATAAAAACTTCAAATATAGGGGGAAGGCCTTTATTTTACGGGGTGCTAATTAGTAAAAAAATGCTTACATCTTTACTATTATCGACTCTGTATGGAAAAAACTCCCCTTTTATACCTTTTCATAACGAAACTTGAGTTGGCACATCACATAGTAGATAAATCTTTCTGCAGACGTGCCAACTCAAATGTTATAATGTGTTTGTGTGTATGTTACCTCGTCGTTACTAAGTTGGTTAGTACAGTCCGAGTCAGTAGCTCGCCGCAGCCGCACCCGGGAGGCAATCTTTGCTTGTCTAGATTCGCAACGGCCTGTGGAAGATAATGTCTATGTGAAAAATTAAAAAGTCAATAAAACATTATTTATATAAAGAAATCCAATTTTCTGTACTCTATGACACTCAGGGGATGAAAACCAATCGAACGACAACTTATTTGTCAAAATCGGTTCAATATTTAAAGTTGTAGAAGGTAACAAAGTTACATACAAAAAAAACTCAAAACCGCGGAAAACATTTCTTCTTTAAACACGTCATTAATATGTAAAATATTAATTTACCTGGCGATGGCGGTAGCAGACCGTCAGGTACATGGCAACCCTCTAACAAATGTGCACCTCTTGCGAACTGGCAACACCTATCCAAACATACATAGAATTGAATTTTAACTACAGAACTGTAAAAAATATCTGTCTCTATTTGATTTCAGCTTTCAAATTGAACTAAAGGTCTGTCCCACGACTGACTGATAGAGGTTCAGATAGCTTATGACGTCACTTAAATAAGGTAACAAAATCCGATATTTCCATCGCATATTTAACATGTTTGATTATAATTTACAGTGTGGTTAGATGGATGGATGTTTGTAACATAAACTGAACGGATCTCGATGATTTTCATAGTAGAGCATAGTCTGGAACACACAGACTTTTGTTTTTTTTTTTTAAATTCCACGAAGTCGAGGGCAAGAGTTAGTATACGATATGTTATGATTTGAAATTTAATTCCTACAAAGCTTGAGTTAGTCGAATATCTTTAAAACCATAACCTCTAGGTACGCTAAATACTAGTCTATTTGTCCTACCTCGCGGTAGTGACGCATATCTCTGAATCTCTTTCGGAGATATTGACACTTGTATCCCCCTGATCAGTTGGCGGTGGGGTGCATTCCGCAGGGGGTTCTGACCTGTGGAGAAACAATTATTGATGCCTCTAACCATAATTATATGTTAGTGCTAGTGCCTGCTTTAATATCTTAGCACTGCAGGGCACGCCCCCAGTAATACCACGACCACACAAGACAGGCGTGAAATGGAAGAAATTCCATGTTTCGTCTAATGAGTGTGGTGCCGGAGGCCTAATTTAAGTTCCTTTCTCTTTACCACCCTATTTCTCATAGGAATAAGATGGAAAGGGAACGTGGATTTGACGGTGGAGTAGACGCATAGGAAGAGGAGATATCCTCTTTATGTACGTCTCCTCCTCCGTCGATTAAGGGTAGGCAACGCATGCATTGCGAATGTCTATTGGCAGCGGTTGCTTCGCCATTTTGGCGTATTCAGGTGGCCGCTTGCTCGTTTGCCACCTATAATATAAAAAAATCCCTATTATTGTCGCAAACTAACAACAATTAACATCTGGCTTCAATCACAAGAGGCCACAGTTGACAGTCGTAACATACCTCAGAATATCTCACCTGACAGGTAACTCCTGCGTACTACTGTCAGTCAAGTCCTGGTCCTGCATCTCCTGCAACTCCTGCCTCTGAGGACTACCTGACTCAGCTGGACTTAGGGATGATGTGTTCTGTAAAACCCATCATCATCATCATCTTGCCTGGATAGCTTCGCAGCAAACTGTTTAGCACTAATCGAGTAGTGTACCTCCATATACGCTCATAGCAAAACAAGACTAAACAGTTATGCGATAGTTGTCAGTGTGCGCTCTTAGTGGTAAGAGGTCATAACTTACTTGATCAGTACGTGATCTGTCTGCATCATTGTCTAGTTCTCCAGCTGGTTGTGTGGTTGACTCGCATTCGTCTGGAAATATAGACAGAATCGGATATAACGAAGACACTATATTATAAATGTGAAAGTTTAGATGGATGGATGTTTGTTACAGAGCCTCAACGACTAAAAGGATCTCGATAGGCTACTCGCTTTTGTTTTGTTTACTCTGCGCCTACGGAGTCGCGGACGAAAGCTAGTTTACTATAAGGTACAAATAAGCTACTTATTATATTAAGGTCATCGCTCACCGGACACCTCTTGCTCTTCTTCGGGTATAGCTCTCGCGCACTTATCCTGTGCGCGGCGCCTGACCAGCTCAGCGATGACCCCGTGCAGCTCCGCAAGCCTTGCATCATGAGCTCTCGCTTCGTTGGCTGCTCGTTGCTTCTCCGCCGCGAGGGCCCGGGCGAGAGTGTCTCTCTCATTACGTAGGGTAACTATGTCGTCTTGTCCACTGCTTTGTGTTGCTATCTGGAAGATGAATTAACTATGGTAGAATGCGTAGGACATCGCACGGGGTAGGAGAGATAATTGTATCCCCTTCTCATCTTTTTCTTATATAAAAAGGGGAGTTAACTAGCGAGTGGGCGTTCAGAAGGGAAATATCCTCAGCCTAAACGTCCCCTTCTGTGTTTACTTAAGGGAACCTGCAACCTTTTAAGTTGCAATATATGCAAAAGAGTGTGTGGCCAAGGGGTTTAAGCACTTGACTTGTAATCTACAGGTCTTGGGTTGGAATTTCTTATGTATATAGTTTATCCAACGTTCTTACTGTGAAGGAAAACATGATGCATATGGGTGAAGAAATTCAAAGATATTTGTGTAGTCAACCCGCAGTGCAGGTTGACTATGGCCTAGTCACCCCTATTAGGGTAGGCTCCGGTCCCTGTGGGGATGTATAGTGAGCTGGTGATGATCTATCTAAGTCTAAATTGGTCGTAAAATCGGTTTTACGTGATGACGTCACAAATCGAACACTCCGTTCCTCTCTATATAGTGCTCTCTCGCTCGCACGTGGCTCAGAAACGTGACGAAATATTTCGTGCAGTCTTAGTAATGTTATCGTTAAAAATCTTACGATACTTTAAAGACATTTAACAAATATAGACCGGACATTGAGAACAATATTTTGTCACCGGTAACTTCTTTATACGGTTATATATTAATTTTTTTGATACGCATAGACGCTTCTTAGTGTTTGAATTATTTGTTGGTAGGGCTAGCGAGATTATGTGTAAAATGTTTTAAGTAAAGCGTCAACTATTCCTTCTCTATATTCTTTGAATCTCCTTGTCTTTAACATACGGTTTAAAACTGCAATTTGTACCATATTGTCGTATGTTAAATCTCTAAACAAAGATCTGGCTCGTGTCGACAAACACATAAAAACTATTTTAGTTACAAACTTGAGTGACGTCTAACCGTCGGTTTACACTACTGAAACAGGTTGAAAAACTTATCGCTATCTCTGTCGGGAACAGCTAGTTTCTTATAAAAAACGATCAGGCCTATACAACACCTACCAAATGCAATCCATTCTGTCCAGCTATAGGGGGCGCTGTCACAGGCCGTAGACTCGAATATCTCCAAGAAGATTCCCTCGAAATATCCTCTTCACCTACATTAGGACAGCATAAATACCAACTCCTACTCCTCCTCACACCCGATGATGAATCCAGTTGAGTTAAAGGAAGTCGGCCGACTACTTCCAGTTCTGCTAGAAGTGGCTCTTTCTCCTTAGGCTCTGGCATTGGAAATGTTCCCGCTGTCGAATATGTCTCTTCCATTTTCCTGTCATCCTTCCTCTCTTGATATCTTCTGTCTCTAAGAGGCGGAACTTCAGCGACTGGTCCGTCGTTCGTGACTTCAGTCGTCTCGACATAATCTTCTTCTATTTGATGGTTTACTTCTTCGTTCTTCTTCTTTATACGTTCTAGATCTGCGTAGTAGTAGGCTGTGGAGCGTGGTGGCTCAGTGGACAGCGTTCTAGTCCCCGCCATCTTAGGTTCGTTTTTTTATGTACACATTTTTAGTTGTGCGTTAGTCATTTGTTGGTTTCACATTTTAACTAAAATTAAGGAATAATATACGCTTGTGGCTTGCTTTTTTATTTTTCACGCATTCGTAAGGTAAATAAACCTTTTAGTCAACCTAAGTAAAAACAATAATTCGTTCTAAGTCAAGAAAAACAAAGTTCATTACCTAAGATAAGAGAATCATAACAAAAATGTTTCTATAATTAAATCGTGAATGGCGTAAGGAGGGAACCCCCTACAATTACCCACCCCCTGAAACTTGCCGAGCTTGCACGTGCCAATCATAAAGTATCGGTGGTTCAAGTTACGAAAAAAAAGCGATAACATAACGAAATGTAGACTTATAAATATTCAAACATGTCACTAAGTGTTTAATTTCTTTTAGTTGAAACAAAACAACACATGCCTACATATTTATAAGTCTACATTGTAGATTGTAGAGTAATAAATGTATAGACAGAGTCAATTTCTATATGTCGTAAAATTCAGACAAGAATTAAACCAATTTAAAAATGTAAGCAAGATTTTATTCAAATAAATAATTTGTATTTTTGTATGTATTTGATTCACGCAAAAACTACTGGGCCGATTTTAAATATTCTTTCACCATTAGAGAGGTAATTTATCTGTGAGTAACATGGGATATATTTTGTATTATTTATTTAAAATAATGCGGGCGAAGTCGCAATCAACAACTAGTGTTAAAAAACTATAAAATCTTATTATGTATAGGAGGTCCTATATTTTACAATTTCGCGAATCGCACCCAATCGAGCGCTCGAGGGGTGGCTGTGACCTTGACCTTGTCTGCGCGGGGTAGGGGGTCGCACCCCCCACGCCCGGGGGGTGTCTTGTTTGCGACGATAGCTACGTGATCGCCTCTTGCGCGTTCACTTTTATATAGCATTTTTATTGACCCGGAGTACTTATTGGTTGAAGGGAAATCGGAATATCAGTTTTACTGTAAAAAAAATCGATTTTATTAAAATAGATTAAAATCGTAATATATCTACTTCTATAGTCTATACTAATATTATAAAGAGGAAAGATTTGTATTTTTGTATATATTGAAATAACTTAAAAACTACTAGGTCGATTTAAAAAATTCTTTCACCATTAAAAAGCTACGTTATCACTGAGTAACATAGGCTACATTTTTTTTTTCACCCGGACGGAGTAAAGGGCGAAATCTAGTCGTTAACAAATTGCGTATATCACCTTATTGTTGTAACCAAATATCAATTTCATGTTAAAACTCAACTGGAACTTATTGCGAAGAATCCCAAGTTCCAGACGAGCCAGACGGCTCGTTAGCCGCAAGGCTGTCGCCATTAGGACCCAGTGGACTAGGGTAGCTAGGATTCTTGCTAAACAATGGATAAGTCTTTATAAGAACCAGGATTTTATAAAAAAAACATTTGGAATTCTCGTAAAATGACACACGTTTATCTATTTTTTTTATTATGTCGTCATTACCTTTCTGAATATTTCGTTGTATAAGGCTAGTAATTCAGACGATTACCAAAGTATTTTAATAATTACAATAGTATTTATACCTAAAAATTAGCCTAAAATCTCCGAAACGGCTGGGTCAATTTCGACCGGACTTTCACTGAAGGGTAGCTGACATAGACTGAAATATTATAGGCTACTTTTTAACTTTATATTGCGTGATGCAGTCGCGGGCAACAGCTACTAAATAAATAAAATGAACACGAATAAAATGAGGAGTTCAAAGTTGTTTAGAGGTTTTACGTGATGGGATATTGCTATTAGAAAAATAGAACAAAATGATTGAACCTCTACTAATTTACTCGATTTAATTACTCGGTACTGGTCCGAACTAGGTGTTAGTGATATGCTCACCCTAAATCTATCAAATCTAATAAGGAATGTAAATTAACACGTATGTGACCTTCACGCGTTTTTATACAACTTGCCTACATACCACTTTACTAATATAATAAGTTAACCAATTATGTGCCTGAATTTGAATAAAATTAAAAATTTTTGTAATATAATGTATTATTGTACACTAGCTGTCGCCCGCGACTTCGTCCGCGTGGTATTAGAAAACATACGAACTACATAAATAACAAAAAGCTACATATCCCTCAGGAACCAGACATTTCTTGGGAATGAACCTTATCTCATGTGTACTCCAGGCTTTGTTTTATATCTGTGCCAAAGTTCAATAAGATATGTTGAACCGTTGCAGAATGATCGAGTAAACATTAAAAAACTAAATTAATAAATCCCACGGGAACCGTAACTATTCCCGGGACAAAAAGTAGCCTATGTGTTTTTCCAGACTATGCTCTAAACCTGTGCCAAATTTCATGGAGATCTGTTCAGCAGTTTAGGCTACAAACGGTAACAAACATCTATCAAGCCATCGTATCTTTCGCATTTATAATATTTATATGATATGATTTACTTATTGTCATTTCAAGTTGAACAAGCTTTAGTGTTGTCCTCCAAGTACGATTTGAGAGCCTTTTAGAATTACTTAATAGGAATAATTTTAACTAAGAAAATATTGATTATAAGTGCATCCGAAACTGCATTCTTTGAGACGAAAATGACTAACCAGAATAACATTAAATGGAAGTCCGTAGTTTTCCTTCATCTCTTACAATTTATCCTAATTTTATCATGGTCACCCTAGTCTATTAGAGCAAACATCAAAGGCGAGTGCTAAAGTAACGCCTACAGCCAGACGAAACAGCCTTGCGTTTAATTGCCGTGTTATTTTTGTAATTACTTTATCCCCCCCCCCCCCCACGTCTGTTACTTCTAAAACATCGAGTGACCAATTTTACCTTTAGAGAATAGAAACATCGACAAATTATAACTAACTAGCTATTCCTGTGCGGCTTCATCTGCATGAAATTATAAAATCTATAGTTTGTTGTTTACATTTGTCAAATAATTGTAAATGTCAAAACTCAAATGCACAAATGACAACCATGGCAACATTGCTTCCTTAATGTTGGCAACTTGTAGTTGATGGTCCCTTTCCCACAAGGACATTTTTCCCTATTTTTTAATACCCTAAGTTTAATAGCGTGAAAATAGCATGTCGTAAGTGTAGGACTTTTTATTCAAGAAATAATTATTCAAAAATATGCGATTGCTGACATCTTACGTCACAAAGTAGTGTGTTTACGCTTTATTATATTAGTATAGAAGTATAAGATAAGGGTCTTCGATACTCGAAATAAAAAGTTATTTGGAGGACGAAATCCCGGTGCGCCGACCCTAAGGGGATAGGGGGGGGGGTAGGATAAGGCAGCGGAGATGATGATGAAGTATAGATATAGAAGATTAAGTAAATATAGATTGGATTTTAATTATTATAACGCTACCTTTAGCCAGGACTACTTCGGAGAGGCATAATAAAACTTTAGTCTAAAAGACTCCAAACTTTCTTATCTGTGCAAATTAAATCGAGATCTATTACAATACAGATATATAGTAAAAAAAAACACTTCGTCTTGTACATAAAATCCTAGTAAGTACATAAGTCTAGCACATGAAGATAAAAGTCTTTGTTCCGAGTCTTTTAAAAGAAAAGAACAAGGTTTTTAAAAATACAAAACTACCAGGCGTCCAGCAATCAAAAGGAGTTACACTCAAAAGATTCCAACATTCAAGTACAAAGGCTAGATGCAAGCAATACAAACAAAAATCAACCTTAACTATTTACAATAAAGTCTAAAATCGTTTAGAAGATAACCAAAATTTCCTATGACGCAACTTTCTCTCCGCCATCCTTTATAACCCTAATACCTTGTAATAAAACCCATTTTAGAGTAACAACTTTCACTAGCGTACAGTACCTCGCTTGTAAGATATAGGCGGTTAGGTCCAGATTCGTATGCACTAGATCTAGGTCTTAGGGAGTCGCAGTATCGACCAAACGGAGAAAGGTCAAGAGTAAACTTTTAAGCTGAAACGTATACTGTTACCTAAAATAATATTAAACACTGTTGAAATCCGACTTTTTATATTATAAAGACGCAAACTAAGCAAGCTTCCTGAATCCGCGAAAAAGACGAAGCGACTGCCCATAGACATGTGCAATTGCAGATGCGTTGCCTACCCTTAATCAACGGGATTATTCCCAACCGTCACCCCGCCCTGTCCCCACATGACAAAAAATGTTCATTCGTCCCACTATCACTAATAAGGTGACAGATGAAACCGTTATGAAATCAAATAAGTTCCAACCATCCCCTCGTCGCAAAAGGTGTGACGGATGGAACTTTTTGTTCTCATCTGTACCCACGTGGGGACAAAGCGGGGTGACGGTTGGGAAGGAATAATCCAATCGACGGAGGAAACGCGCATAAATAGGATATTTATCCATCCTATGCGTCTCCTTCACCGTCAAAACCACTTAAGAAAGGGACTAAAATAAAGCCGTTTATTATTACGGACATCGACATTTACATTTTTAGCCTAAACTGAACGGATCTCTATGACTATCAGGCATAGGACATATAGGAAGAATACATAGGCTATATTGTTTTAATTCCGCGCAGACGGAGTCACGGGTAAAAGCTAGTAAGCGATTGTTCATCAATAAAAGTTTTAAAAACCATTGTCTTCATACATTTGATAGATTACGAACAAACAAAGCTTGTATTGTTATATTCCGTTCCAATGAGTATTTTATTGTTTATGTCACCGACAGATCGTAAATATCGGCCGTTTGTAGTTTACCCAGACTTGTATAGAAACAGGAAGTTTTAAAATATGTCTACACTAATATTATATAGAGGAAAACTCTGTTTGTTTGAAACTACTAAGCTGATTTCAAAAATTCTTTCACCATTAAAAAGCTACGTTATCAGTGAGTTACAAAGGCTATGTCTTATATTATTTATTAATTTCAGGCTGACGGAGTCGCGGGCGAAAGCTAGTCATTAATATGTGAGAAAAACGTAGTTTTTGATATGGAATAATTATGGCCGTCTCCAAGAGGGCAGAGTGGGGATACAAGGTTACTACTAGACATGTATCCCAATGCCTTTCCTTCCTATGTCTTCGGTTCACCTGGACACCCTACGTTCCAGGCGGCATTCTAGGACCTTCTAGCGACCTATTTTACGATATTCATCGTTAATATTATAATTGAGAAAGTTTGAATGTATAAAACTACTAAAAGGATCTCGATGATTGTCATAGATGTAGAGGATACTCTGGAAGGACACATAGGCTACTTAAATTTTTTTATTACATGCAGACAGAGTCGCCGGCTAAACTTAATTCACTAATCATACTAATCACAATTTATACTATTATAAATGTGAAAGTTTAGATGGATGTTTATTAGTTTGTAGCCTAAACGGCTGTACGTATTTCGATCAAATTTGGTATACATGTAGAGGATAGTCTGGAAGAACATATAGGGTACTCACTTTCGCTTTTGTTAAATTCTACGCAGACGGAGTCGCGGGCGTGAGCTAGTAACTTCAATAAAAAAAGCATAATCGTTATGGGTACTAGTTTTTTTATATTGATTGCAATTTAAAATATGATTCAAAATATGCACCCAACGTAACAAATAACAGTCATGTTGCCTTACAAGAACATCGAAATACGGTCAGAACATGCACATCACCAAAATGGTCAACATATTGCGGTAAGGAATGTCCCATTACAATCAAAGTATGGTATGCTGACGTCAACCATTTGTATTATTCCCAACCGTCACACCGCTCTGTCCGCACGTAAGAATAAAAAGTTTCATCCGTCCCACTTTTTAGTCCAACTATCACCAAAGTAACAGGAACCATTATAAAATAAAGTAAGTTCCAACCGTCACCTCATCACAAAAGGTGGGATAGATTAAACTTTTTATTCTCATCTGTCTCCACGTGGGGACAGCGACAGTAGCAGAAAGAAAGTATATATTGTGTTGCAGAGGATATGCTAGAGAAGGGAATTCAGATATTCTGATAGAGATGTTAGAGTACATACTGTACACTACGTAGGGGAAAGTATGTATTGTGTTGAAGGCTATGCAGAAGGGAATACAGATATTCTGATAAGAGATGTATGGAGTACATACTATATCAGTCGAAACTTTAATTTAACAATAAGCAACTCAAAAGTATTTTTATATCGGAATAGTTTTAGAGAATTCAGAGTATAAAGCCAATGAAAACAAAATCAATTACTCGGACTGGTATAACAAATGATATTAAAACGCACATTGGAACTACTCCAAGGAATTCAATGCAATTTTAGATTCTTTTAAACATTAACATGAATTTGTAGTACTTAAGATTGTGTTAAAAATTGCCTGTTTTTGGCATTTTTATTATTTTCTTCTATAGTGTTTGAATGGTGGATGTTTATTTTAATTTTTGACCTCATATACAAGGAATTAAAAAGCTTAATACTATACTAATATTTGTATTTTTGTATGTAATAAAATCAATCAAAAACTACTCGGCTGATTTAAAAAAAAATTTCACCATTAGTAAGGTAATTTATCTGTGAGTAACATAGGCAATATAATTAAAAAGACCTAGAAAGAAATGTATGGATTGCATGAAAGGTGACATGAACAAGAAGGGAGTGACTGAGATGACGTATGATAGAGTGCTTTGAAAACCCGGTGTGCCGACCCTACGGGAGTAGGATAGTTTATTTCATGACATATTCGCGAGCAACAGGAATAAGTAAATGTGTTCTTCCAGACTATGGTCTAAATGTTTTTTTTATGAGAAGGGGACAAAGGAGCTGCAGGAACACATATGTGATAAATTTCTATGAACTATTAAGCTGTTTTGAAAACATGAAAACTTTTGCATTTATAATATTAGCAAACTGTTTCTTAGTGATCTTTTTAAAGTTGAAGGAATTTTCGCTTTTCAGTAGTTACTGTGCTTATTAGATGCTCTATGAAATTTAGCACAGATATAGAGCATAGTCTGGAAGAACACATAGGCTACTTTTTATCCCGGGAATAGTTGCGGTTCCCGTGAGATTCATTAAATTAGTTTTTTAATGTTTACTTGATCATTCTGCAACGGTTCTACATATCTCATTGAAATTTGCCACAGATATAAAACAAAGTCTGGAGTACACATGGGAAAAGGTTCATCCCCGAGAAATGTCCGGTTCCCGGGATACGTAGCTTTTTGTTATTTAAATAGTTCGTATATTTTCTAATACCACGCGGACGAAGTCGCGGGCAACAGCTAGTATATTATATTAGTATAGATGTAAATACATTTTAATGTACATTAAAATATAAACTAATTCAAATTAATTTTCACAATTTATTAGTCTTTTTTTGTTTTACTTTGACACTGTCGTATTTTTCTTTACATTATTTCTGTTAAATTCCCATTTAATTTGCTATAAATAATTTATTTTTATTATAGCAATAAAAAAGTAATATCTAAAACAATAAATGCTATTGATAAAAAAAAATTAAAATCGACTTAAAAAATTTACCGCCAAATTACGCAAAGAAACACGAACCATAAACAATTGCAAAAAACTCACACATCACTAGCATTAAAAAACAAACACTTGAAAGCAAGAGCTTCCGTTGGGGGTGAAAAGGGGACTGAAATTCCGGTAAATTCGCAGCTGTGACGTCACACTGCACTGCACAACTAGGTCACCAAATACACCGTTATAAGTGATGTGCATAATATAACGGTTATAACAGCTGCTTTAAACAACTATTTGATTGGTTTAAACCATTCCAATGTCACGATTTAACCTTTTCCAAGCTAGTTGGTTAATTGCATTTAAAATGACATCGTTTTACGACAATTTACGATAATTATATCATTTGAGATACTAAGAAATATAACTAATGTTCGTTTGTTATTTATTAAAAGTTATTATTTTAAGAAGACGTAACATAAAGAATTAACTCCTTCCAAATGCATTCTTAACTGCGTAGCAACACATTCACATCTCGGAACCAAATGATTTTTTTTGTAACTCACAAAACCGGCCACAAGCGCTTTGAAAAGCTTTAAGAACTATCAACAAACTAAAATACACCATACACTGCAATTTCACATTAATTGGTGTCGAAACTTTCAAATTAACACAACAAAAACTAATTTATAACCACTCTTCCGTTAATTTTAGTTGAATTAACACATTTTTCATCACTCAGTTATCGTTTATATCACCATATTTATGCAACGGTTGATGAAACAAGTGATTAAAGCTTTATTTTCACTGTTTATTTATTAAAAATCGCGTATAACGTACGGATATAACACGACCGCGCAACAGCGATGTCGCGGCGCGGAATGGCGCATTTCCTGGGTGTTGCCAGTGTGGGAATTTTGCCTGTAATAGTATTAAATGTTAACATCTTTGCTGTGAGAACGACAATCGACTGTAAATAAATTAACAATACAATACTGTATTTAAAGGGTGAGAAAATTTTAACACGATTGTATTCTTATTAATATTTTAAAATTCCTTTTTAATTAATTAAATTATAATTTAAGCGCAGCATTCTTGAAATAGATTAATAATTTATTCTTGTACTCAAATTTTTATTTTAACATCTGTTATTTTCTAGATTGTTCCTTTATTGTTCAGTTTCCCAACAAACTAATGACATTCTGCCTAAAATCTGTGCGCTCATTTTATACTGGCAGCATTACAAAAATGTCACTTATACACCTACGGAATTCCGGCCAATACCGTTTGTTGTCGAACTTATGGTTTTGTTTACAAAAAAAATATAACTACAGTGAACATTTTATGATTGTACTAGCTTTCGCCCGTGACTCCGTTCGCTTGGAATTAAAATAAAACAAAAGTGACTTGTCTATATGTTCTTGCAGACTATCATCTACATAAATGCCAAATTTCATCGAGATACGTTCATCCTTTTAGGCTACAAAATAAAAAAAAAATCCATCAATCTAAACTTTCGCATTTATATAATTAATAATTAAGATTAAGCTTTTAAGCATAAAAAAGATGTTAGTGATATATGTTTTGTTGAAAATACCTTAAGTGAATACAAAATGAGAATCGTTCGAGTTGCAACAGTAGAGGGCACACTATGCTGTACTTTAAATTTTTAACTGGATGGAATAAGTAACATAGGTTTGTCTCGTTTTTGTCGCGAATTGAAGCTTTTGTTACAGGTCACTGTACGCTCATGCGTTACTTATAATTAAGAAACTCGCCCAGCTTCACAGTGGTAGAGCCCGCTTTAACATCTTCGCACTGTAGGGCCGGCTCACCCGCAATACCACGACAACACAGAAGACAGGCGTGAAGTGGGAGCAATTCTGCTTTTAGTCTGATGAGTGCGGTGGCCTAATTTTAGGTCTTCCCTTTCCCCACCATAAAATAACTCAAAAACTACTTGGCCGATTTTAAAAATTCTTTCACCACGAAAAAGCTACGCTATCACAGAGTAACATAGGCTACATTTATTTTATTTTTTAATTTCACACGGTCGAAGTCGCGAGCAGCAATATAAACATAAATAAAATAACTTAAAGTATTATATTGCGGTAATAGTCAATCCAATCTACCCCGGAACTAACAACCATCGTGAAGATATTCTATAAAAGCCCCGGCACGTGTACGCAATCGGTTAACATTTAATTTCGTCATTAAAACGAGGTTAAATTTAACTGCCATACAATAATATACCTTATTACTAACGCATAAGGTTGAATTCCTTACAAACGTTGAACCACTGCTGTGGTGTTCCTATAGTGCATTTGGTTTAGTAAAGAATGTCACTAATTAGGACAATATTAAACTACTATTGTTAGTAAGTAGGCGGCTCACTAGAATTAGTAATAAATAAGCCAGCTTCGTGTTTCCATCTATATTAATACTAGCTATTCCCGTGCGGCTTCATCCGCATGAAATTATAAAAATATTATTTTATTGTTTACATTTGGCAAATTATCAATAGCAAATGTCAAAACGACATGACATGATGACAACCTTGCTTCCTTGATGTTGGCAACAACTTATGGTCTTTTCCCACATTAGGGTTTTTATCTAAAATATTTACCCCTAAGTTTAACGGCGTGAAAATATATAGCCTAAAGCGTGTCGTAAGTGTGGGGCTTTTATTATAGAAAGGATTATTCAAAATACGCTGTAATTGCTGACATCTTAGGCAATAGAGAAGTGTGTGTTTACGCTTTATTATAATAGTATAGATATCGTGCGATAGTTTAGTCTTCTATATAATTTTATATAAGGAAGCGGACTAAAAATATAGTTTAATAATATTTACCTTATGTCATAAACTATTTCATGTCATTTTCTTTGTGCACAAACGATACATTGTTACTTACATACAAGTTTTATTAAAATAATAAATATCGTGAACCCCTACTATAAACACCAAAACAAATTCGAGTTTCAGTTTTATTAATTCGAAATTCATAGCCGATTTTTAGATACAACCAATTAGTATAATAAGCAAAGAAAGGAAAAATGACCCTAAATTTCGTCGCGCGATTTTGAGCTAAACTATTTAACTACGTCGTAGTCTTTGACTCCAAAAATCAAACAAAAAAATGGGACCCACCTGCAAGCATCACCTTTCGGATAAAAAATGAATTATCAAAATCGGTCCACTAGGGCCGAAGTTATGCCGTAACACACATAAAAAAATAAAAAAAAACATATCGACGAATTGAGTACCTCCTTCTTTTGGGAAGTCGGTCAAAAATGAACTCCGAGACAAAAAAAAATCTTTTCTAAATTACGTCTTATATTATGTAAACATTTTTTGCCCACATATTAACAAAAAAACTTATCAAATACTAGCTTTCGCCCGCGACTCCGTCCGCGTGGAATTAAAAAAACCAAAAGTAAGTAGCCTATGCGTTCTTCCAGACTATCCTCTACATCTATACCAAATTTCATCGAAATCCGTTAAGCAGTTTAGGCTACAAACTCTAACAAACATCTATCTAAACTTCCGCATTTATAATTGACCGACTTCCCAAAAGAAGGAGGTATTCAATTCGACGGTATGTTTATTTTTTTTTTTTTTTTTTATTTATTTTTTTTATTACTATGATTTTGTGTGAGTTCCTCCAGACAATGTCGTTTCTACATTTGCCTAACATCGAGGCACGTTGAGCCACTCTGGATATACATTCTAACATCCATCCATCCATTAGTAAATTGTATATCATTAAATAGGCCACAAATATACTAATAAAAATACCAATCGATTTCCCATAGTAGGGGACAACATTCATCACAACAATTTGGACTCTATCACCTTTGACATAAAGTACAAATTCCTTTAACCGCATATAAGATGGCGTATTTTCGACATAGAGGTCGACACTTTGAGAGCCGTACAATAAAATTAGGACACGCGCTTGGGAGAGTCTACTTCACGGGTGTAGTTTTTTTACGAGAAATAACAAGCAACTACACTTGTTTAAGTAGGAATTAAATCCAGATAACAACAAGAGCATAATTTAAACTGGACAGTTTTCTCTGGATGACCCTTAGTGTGGTTTCGTCTTTATTTCTGTGTTTCAGACTAACCTCTAAATGTATAACAATCATCGAGATCAGTTTAGGATACAAACTGTAACATCCATCTAAAAAAAATTCAAATTACAATTCAAAAGTCAAATTACAAATGTCAAAATGACATGACGATGGCAACCGTGCGTCCTTGATGTTGGCAGCAACTTATGGTCTCTTTCCACATTAGGGTTTTTATCCAAAATATTTACACCCTAAGTTTAATGGCGTGAAAATATATAGCCTAAAGCGTGACGTAAGTGTTGGGCTTTTTATTAAAAAAAAAGAATTATTCATAAATATGGTGTAATTGCGGACATCTTAGGCAACAAAGAAGTGTGTGTTTACGCTACATTATAATAGTACAGACTAGCTTTCGCCAGCTACTTCGTCCGTGTGAAATTAAAAAAAAAAACAAAAGTAAGTAGCCTATGTGTTCTTCCATACTATTAGACTAGACATTTATACCAAATTCCATCGATATCCGTTCAGCAGTTTAGGCTACAAACTCTAACAAACATCCATCTAAACTTTCACATTTATAATATTAGTATGATTGATAAGATATAACAATTAGATAAGCATTCTCGTTGGAAAAAAATGACTAGTTCTCTTTCTGGTCATTAACCTGACGGCTGGAGACTCCGTAACCTTCACCATCTTCTTACCCTCATCATCATATTCCTGTCTTTTAGCCTTTGTAGATTTTCATTCTCCACACAATATTATAAAGAGGGAAGATTTGTATTTTTGTACGTATTGAAATAACTCAAATACTACTGGGCCGTTTTCAAAAATCACCTATTAAAAGCTACGTTACCGCTGAGTAACATAGGCTGTATTTTTATTTCACGAAGTCGCGAACAGCTAGCGTGAAATATATTGCTTGTTGGTTGGTTTTTGGAATAAAACTGCATAGCGTATTGTAACGTTGTATATTACCAAGTTCATTTACTTGGCGTCATTCCATATTGAAACAAGGTCATACAATATCGCCGCAAAATTTAGAAGGATCAAATCTATTTTTTTATATGAGAAGGGGGCAAACGAGCGGCGGGAACACAAAGGTGGTCAACGACGCCCATGGACATCCGTAACACCAGAGGAACTACAGATGCGTTGCCGGCCTTTGAAGAAATTGAAAAAGTATGCAGTAAAAGTGGTGTGTTAGTTCCTCCTCCTCTATTTCCGGTGTACTAAAATGCATGAATACGGTTGTTGTATTGATATCTTCTATATAAAATTGGAATGTCTGTAATATCAAAAAAAAAAAACAGATTTCAGGAAGATTTATTTGTGTTGATAATGAAAATCGCATTTGAAAAAGGGTAGATAGGATCACTAAAGGGTAGCTGACATAGACGGGCATGTTATAGGTTACTTCTTTATATTGCGTTGACGAAGTCGCAGGGAACATCTAGTCTATACTGATATAAAGAGGAAAGATTTCTATTTTCGTATGTATTGAAATAACTAAAAAACAGAAACAAAACCAAAAACTATGAGTAACGTTGGCAATACGTTTTATTATTTTTTTAAAATTACACGAGAACGTAGTCGCGAGCAACAGCTAGTCCGTTACACAGCTTAAAGAGACAGTCATATTTCACACAAGTGGTTTAAATTGGAACCTGAAACCCATTAATACAGTTTCCGAAAATCTACAAACGTTGAGTAAAACTCATCACTAACTGACCTATATTTAACCGGCAGTTAAATCTACGATATTAAAACCGGGTTAATTAAATAAAACCACGCTTCAGACTTGCGTAACGTACATACGGATTATGACGTAATACAGTTGCGGACATGTATTTCATACCCATGCTTCGGGCCATCGACTAAACTATCCCAACTGTGATTGTCGATTGTTTCGCAACCAAATCTCGAGTATACCTCCATATAAACTCATAAGAATCAAAGCATTTAACAGTGGCAGAGCCCGCTTTAACATCTTCGCACGAATTGGCCGGCACACCTCCAGTAATACCACAGACACGCAGAAAACAGGCGTGAAGTGGAAGCAATTCCGCGTTTCGTCTGTTGAGTGTGTTGCTGGAGTCTTAATTTTAGTATCTTTCCCTTTCCACCCATTTCTTAAGAGGGGATGGGAAGGAAAAGTGGATTTGACGGCGGAGACGCATAGAGGAATTGTTCTCTTTATGTGCGTCTCCTTCGTCAATTAAGGATAGGCAACGCTGCAATTTCGGATGTTTATGTGCAGCGGTTGCTTTCCATTTCGGTGGATTCAGGCCGCTTGCTCGTTTGCCACCTTATATTATAATAAAAAGCGAGACTGAACATTTGTGCGATAGTTTAGTCAATATGCGCGATTTTTCCAATTATAACATCATCCACTTGTCCTTATCCCTTACGGAGGGTCGGCAGAGTATGTGCTCTTTCATACATCTCTATCAGCCGTCATCTGAATCCACTCTTTTCTTGCACTCTTTCATACAATCCATCCATACTTTCTTCGGTCTTCCTCTTCCTCTGTAGCCATCCCCTGTATGTCCCCATAGTTTCGTCGCATAACATGTCCATACCACGCTAACCTTTTGCTTCTCGATACTTCCAACTATAACGTCAACTCATTATTAGTGAGTAAATTAGCAGACAACCTTGAACTGAATTACAGCTCAATTTAATTGCAAGTGATGATATCTAGCAGTGGTAGAGCCCGCTGTAACATCTTAATAATGTAGGGCTCACCATAAGCAATATTAAAGAAAAGACAGGCATGAATTAGCAGTAATTCCACTTAATGGAGGCTTATTTTAGTCCCTTTCTCTCGTAAACCTTTTATCGGGAAAGGGAAAATTAATTTGGTGGAAATTTTTTTATATAACATAAGGTGGCAAACGAGCAAGCGACCACCTGAAACTGCCAAAATGGCGAAGCAACCGCTGCCCATAGACATCCGCAATTGCAGATGCGTTGCCTACCCTTATACAACAGAGGAGGAGATGCACATAAAGAGGATATTTCCCCTTCCTACGCATCTCCTCCACCGTCAAATCCACTTCCTCTTCCCAACCTCTCCTTATAAGAAAAGGGTGGTAAAGAGAAAGAGAATATCCTCATTATGTGCGTCTCCAACTAAATAAATAAGAGCAAAGCATCTGTCTCTTAGCAAAGGTTAATTTGCCATTTTGTCTGATATGAAATTGCTTATTTAAATGAAAAAATAAATATCTTAACTGTAGATATAAAATTCAACTTAAATTTAGTACATGGGGATTGTAAAGTACAAGTCAAGTGCTTAACCACTGTGTCACTGAGTCTCCTATACAGATAAATACATACATATGTGAATTATTTACCTCTTCTTGTTGACTGAGGGAGGAGTGACTTCCCCATTCATCCCATGTCTCCCTCTCACCTGGTGATTAAAAACAAACATCTGTTTATGCAATTTTAGGCCAAATACCAGTTGTACTCCTCTTCCTGTAAAGATATTTGGCTGGTGCGTGGACAGGAAAGGGGACTATCAATATTCTGTATGTTTACTTAAAATATAGTAAGGACTATAAATAACACATTTAGAACTCAAAGCCTTGTATCTTTATCAAGACGCAGACCTCTAGTATCCCGTTTAATATTTCTTTTTATGAATTTGTTTGTTTTATTTTTGATTTGCTAAGTTTTAGTATTCTAATAGCTGATTTTAATATTGTATGTTTTGTCTTATATATACAGACGATAGTTTTTTTTTACGATTAGCTAACTTTAATCAGCTGTTTAATTTAGCTAAAATACTTTTTGTTTATACTTATTACAAAATTGTCTTGTTTAAAATAAGGGATATTGTATGTAATCATTGTTTATGCATGTTAAGCATTTGAAGCAAGATGTGTTTGTCTGTAATTGTAGTTACATAATGCTACATGAGTTTGGATGTCTAAATAGAAATCAATGAATGTCATGTAATTATGTTGATAAGCCTAATTTGGATGGATTAAATGACTTTATTATTATCTTCATATATCTTTATTTCTTACTCTCTATATAATACATTTAACAAGAATATAAAAATTAAAATAAAATATATTATATAAAAAATAGAGCACCACCGGCTGCGGAATCCGATGACTCAAGCAACCAGTGGTCAGGGCTGCAGAGACAGGAACCTCCTCACTAGTCGTGCGGTTTCTAAAATAACCGCCTTTTGAATCGGGCCCTTAATCCAACTGTCTAGCGAGAGCTTCTTGAGGTGTTGTTATTATTATTATTATTATTATTAATTTAAATAAATAAATAAATCTTCAGTTTTAACTATGCAAGTATATGTAAATAAGAACTGTAAAATTAAATAGATTATGAATTTAAATTGAAATAAAATTGGTTATCTATAACTCATATTGTTTTATTTTTAACTAAATTATATGGCTTTTACCTAAAATCTATGAATTTTTTTTATAAGAGAAAGAGGTCACTAAGTCATAGACACCCATAATATTAGAGAAACAGCATATATGTTAGTGTTTGAAAAGTGGTCCGTTTGCCTGTAGGAGTATCTCTGTTGTTTTAGAAGTTATATTAAACATTTATTGTAATATTGTAATGGTTTTTAAATATAATTATTTATTGTATAATGTAAACGTGCATAAAAATTAGTTTTAAATTTCACGCGTCGTCCGAGATTTAAAGAAAAAATTAAAATTTTATGAACATATTCAAATACTTACAATAACTAGCTTCGCTCCTTGGCTCCATTTTTAATTTCAAACTATAATAAACTTGTGCACATTATAACATACTCACTATTATAAATAGTTCACTTTTTACGTTTTATTTTTTTAAACATTGAAAATTCGAATATCACTCTTACACTGACCGGAAACCTTTATATAAAATACACTTATATATGAAATCTATTGTAAAACACAACAAGAACACTTCCATCACAAGAAAATAACGATTTTAAAGCTATTTTATGTTAACATTACGATATATTGCAGTTTGAACACTTTTTTTCGATAACGCCCAAATTAGAAGTGCGGAAATTTGCATAAATTACCCCTAGGACATATATTAAAGATGCAGTAAATTGTTGCCGCGTAACAAATAAAATATGTTTCATTTATGATTTAATTAAAAAATATATATTTTGCGAGAAATATATAATGTTCATTGTACTCGGTGTTTACAATGGAACGTCAAATCGATGGGCCGGAAATTGTACTGACTACAGACTATATATTCTTATACGATTTGCTTTCTGTGAATTTTATTGAGAATTTATTTTAAGAAAAATACCTCAAGTTAATATACTTTTCAACACTTGTTTTAATATGAAAAATACATAAAATATCTCGATTTTATATTTATAGACGGCATTTTACACTTTCCGTCGAACGGTGTTGCTAGTGTAGAACAAAATTTTACTAAAAAAAAACTAATAACCCTTACCAGAACAATAGCAAACTGCCCCAGTTTGCCGTACGCTTTAATTATTTTCTTGCATCTTTGTTGTGAAAGGTATACTAATCGTAATATGATTCATTAATTTATTTACATTTATTTGCGTTTTCCATATATCAAAGGAAAGTGAATGAAAATAAAACAACAAAATTTATTTAAAATTAAACAATATATAAATGCACAATGCATTAACTGTTCCAAATATTATATTTCTTAAAATAACATTGTAACCCTGTTTCTTATTCCTTCTTCTTCTTACTAGGAGATTCTCCATCTCTTGCGCTACTTCTTCTCTTTCTACTGTTGCTTTCTTCTTCACTTTTACTGTCACTATCGCTTTCTTCTTTCGTCTCCTTTATTGTCTTCTTCACTCGCGCCTGCTCCGGCGAATAAGCCCACAGTAACATTTCTAAATGTTCCTTTGTTGGTTCGTCATCATCAAAGAGTTTTGCATCTGCGTACTAAAATGAAATTATTATTATATTAGCTTTCGCCCAAGACTCCGTCCGCGTGGAATAAAAAAAATTAAGTAGCCTATGTGTTCTTCCTGACTAACCTCTACATTTGTGCCTATCATGACATAAAAAAAAATAATAATAATTTTTATTACTAAATCAAGTAAGATACAAATCAATCAGTTGTAGGGACTTCCTTTTAAGTAACCAATAGGCACTTGTGTTAGGAAGTCCCGCTCTTCCGTGTAACACATAATGTAAGATATTCTTGCACAATCTATGCTATGATAAATAAAGCGCAAAAACACACCACCCTGTGGCACATATTTAGGACAATTCTTTCTTTAACAAAAAGCACTACAGTTACGACACACCCCAGGCTATGTATTTTTACGCTATTAAAGTTAGGAGGCTAATAAATTGGAAAAGGCATAATAATAATAAAAAGTAATATTCTTTTATTTGAAAAAAACTATTGTGTTTTTGGTCCTTCGAGTCGGATAAATATTTGAATACCTACCTTCTCTTTCAGTTCTTTTAATGCTGCATTTCTGACGATATCCCAAGTCTTGCCTCCTTCCTTCTCAGACACAGTTCGGAGCCGTTTGTACTCGCCGTTCACACTGCTGTATGCTTCTATGAATGATTTCTGTTTAAAAAAAAGGTTCAGTTAAATTAAATATACTCGGGCTTATCTATATTAATATAATAAAGAGGAAAGATATGTATTTTTGTATGTATTGAAATAACTCAAAAATCACTGGGCCGATTTTAAAAATTCTTTCACCATTAAAGAGGGATTTTGTCTTTGAGTAACATAGGCTATATTTTTATTATATTTTACTTTCATGCATACAAAGTCGCTAACTACGACTAGTCTATACTGATATTATGATTAGGACAGTTTAGTATTTTTGTATATGATTCACGCAAAAACTACCGAGCCGATTTTAAAAATTCTTTCACCATTAGAAAGCTACTTTATCACAGAGTGTCATAGGCTACATTTTTTATTACTACATGCATACGAAGTCGTAGGCAAAAGCTAGTATTTTAATATGGATAACTTTTCTCTCACCTGTTGCTCAGAGATCAGTCCCTCAGCTTTACCGACACAGGTCCTCACAATACCCAAACTGATGTACGGGTTATTCTGCTTGCTGAGGTGCATCGTGTCGAAGTCGTCAAGAAACTTGTCGAATAAGGACATCGCTTCTTTAATATTTGATATCTTTGTCTCATCTCTTGTACCTGGAAAGGAATGAGATACCAAATTAACGATAGAAATAAAAAAACTCTAAACTAAAAGGTAAAAATCCCTTAGTAACAGACTAATGGCCGGTTTTTTAGCTATTTTTAACCATTCGTTAGTGTTAAGGTTCGATAACTTAGTGAAATGCGTTTCCGAATTACGTAACTGAGGTTTTACTCCTTTGAAACACAGTTCTATGTAAATCTAATTAATCACTAAGTAATGAGCATAAGAGAATGTATCAATTACCTATAGCCTAAACGAATATACCGTTTTTGACAAGTGAGGACTTCGCCCTAGTGTTTTTTATTTTACAACAAGCTGTTGCTCGCGACATTGCCTGCGTGAAAATAAAAAATAAAAACATATATGTTACTCAATGATTAACGCAGCTTTTAAATGTGTAAGAATTTTTGAAGTCGTCTTAGTAGTTTTTGGGTAATTTCAATACATAAAAAAAATACAAATCTCTCCTCGTTATAATATTAGTATAGACTAGTTATTCGTAAAAATCATTTTTTTTTAAATCAACATCTATAGACTCTCGGTCCTTTGTTGCACAGTTTATATCTTTAATTTTTTTTCTTTTTTTTTGTTGCGTAATCCTTGTTACATTACTGAGGTCCTTTTTTATTACAATTATTATTTTTTTCATTTTTTTTTTCATTATTTTTATTAATATTTTAATTAATAATGTAATTCTCACTTACATGTCAAGACCCTCTTAGCTCGTCCAATCAAGCCTTTCACAGCAAGCTTCTGGTAATCAGGATCTCTGCCTTCTAACTCCTTGAGAGTGCTCTCCGCAGTCACCTTGTCTTTGAATCCTAAACCTGGTACTGTATCTGGTGGAAGATCCTTCTTATCCTCTTTCTTTGTTTTATCCTCCATCTCTACATCGGGACTTGAATCCTAATAATTCACATAATGAGTATATTAGAGGAAGTTTGCGAGTAGCTCCAGTGGTAGAGAAGGTAAGGAGACAAAGGTTAGCATGTTATGAGGAGGGATGACTCGCATGTTACAAGGAGAACGTTAGTTATGAGGTAGAGGTAGGCATAGAAAGAGATGGATTGTGTGAAAGACGACATGATCAAGAAGGGAGTGATCACTGAAATGAGGTATAATAGGGTTTTTTTTTGAGGACGAAAACGCGGTAAATATAAAGGTAAATAAACGGCGGAAAGATAAAGGTATTGGTTAATGTATATTTTAACCATAAACATCATAGGAAGAGGATCCTTCGTCAATTTCAAGGATAGGTAACGCATTGCATGCTGATGTCTATAGGTAGCTGTAACTTATCCATTACGGAGAAATAATTAGACCTCTAGATAGTTTGTTTTATGATTAAAAAAACTTAATCATACTGTCACATTACTTTATCGTCTTACCTTATCTTTGTCTTCTTTCTTTTCTTTAGCGTCCTCTTTCTCCTTCTTACTCTCCTTCTTGTCAGTCTTCTTCTCCTTGTTCTTCTCTAGCTCCGCCAGCCAGTTCTCAAACACCTCCATCGCTTCTTTTATGTTCTTTATTTTTTCTTCTGCTTTTGTCACTGGTAGAATTAAAAGAACAAAATTGAAAGTACCGAAAAAAACTACAGAACGATGTTGTTTACACCAATGATAACGAAAGGGATGCTATTAAATGTCTGTTTTCGCTTTTTAATAATTATATTTTAAGAAGCAATTACATTTTTAATTCCCACGTTTTGCCATCGGATTAGTATATGAACAAACTATTATATTAATCCTATCATAATTATTGAGTTTATCTCAAGTTTAAACAAAGATATTTGAGTCAACCTATTGTGTGCTGTACAATGGATGACCATTCAAATCGCTTTATCGTATCGTCTTTCTTTATATTATGACGTTTACTAAAAGAAAGAGAGGTGAATAGATACATGATCAAGCAATAAACAATGCACGAAAGAGAGGTAAATACTGAATCCGAACCCCTAATTGCTTAAAAAATAGAGTTCAATATTGAGAAGTATAAATCTACTACAAACAGAAAGAGATAGATTATAGACAAGATCTTTGCTTTTATGTTAGAAAGAGAGGCAAGCACTTACTAGAAAGCACTCTTTTAGCTCTCCCCAGCAGACCACGCACAGTCAGACGCCTGTAATTAGGTTCATGTTCTTCTAGTAATCGTAGGGTTTCTTCAGCCTTCGCTTTGTCCTTGAACCCGAAGCCAGAATCTTCTTTTTCATCCTTACCCATTGTCCTGGACAAAAAGGTTTTTTAAAGGTCAAATATTATAATATAGAAATAACATTTCAATTAAATAAGTCCTTCTGTACATTAATTATCGTAAGCAGACTGAAAAACCTTGGAAACTAAAATGTTTTCAGTAAAAAAATATTTAAAGATGTACAATTTATTATCTACGGTGCATACATTATTGGTTTTGCGCGGGAAACGTCTATGGTGACGTAATGCGTCACCTGCCCAAACACAAGAATGCAATAAACTCAAGGATATTCTATAACAAATAAGTTAAACGATAAATATTTTAATTTTACGTTCAAGTTATATATAGTTTCGTTTTAGTACTGGAATTTTATACTAACTGCCAAAACTTACTCATTTTTAGAGAAAAAAAATTATATGACAACCCTGAGTTCATTTCCCCAAAAGGCGCGCACTTTTTCACTCGCGTTCTTGTAACATCAAAAAGTGGGCGCGAACGGCAATGACATTTACTTCCGTTACTTTTTAACGATGACAAAAGAATGTAGCAAAAGCATGCGAAACAACAACACACCTTTTTATATAACCAATTCAATAATATCGTTTATATTTTAAGAAATACACATTAAAAAGTATTTAATTTTTTAATGTAGATGATTATTATTTTATTGTTTAGTACAAATTAAAATAAACAAACCCATATTGATCTTATAACCATATTGATCCATATTGATATATCACCAGATATAAAATCGTCCGATCGAAAATGGGTCACTAGGAAAACGGACGTGTACTTATTAGGGTTGTCAGTTTTAACATCTTATATCATTTGACAATAGTATTACCTGTTATTTATTAAACAAAAAAAAACGTATGCTTTAAAATAATATAAATTTAATTCTGCAACAAATTCTTGTAAATAAATTCTATAACTTGAATTTCCTTATTTCCATAGTTAAGATTATTTTCTATGTTTTCAAGTCATTCGGTATTCAAGCTTTGTTATATATTGTAAAATTTTATTTAACGTTCGTAGCATGTTAAATTTGACAACCCTAGTAGCGGTCTTCCTGGCGCCGACTGACGCGTAACTATTTCTTACACAACGTGTGTGGGTAGCCTAGACTACTGTCTTGAATAAATACTAAATCGTTGCCATCTCTGTCTGCCCTTTGAGAAGACAGAGAAAGCAACAATAAGCTATGGAAATCCATGCATGATTTAAAAAAAAAGATAGATACTTTTTAAGGCATCAATTTTTAAAATGATTGTAACAAAGTTTTGTATACCAAGTATGAGGTCATCGACCTTGTATTGAACGCTAAGAAACGCTTTATGTTGAAGAAGTATTACGAAAGCGACAACTTTGTGCACTTCTAATGCTTCTATTCAAAACATTTACTGAATTCTAATGATGTTTTTAAATAAGAAAAGCTTACAACACTGTTTAACAACATGCTACCATATAATAAAATGTCGTTTTATTCCCCCTGTCTTATTTATAGGTCCAAAAAACCGTTTGCTCGTTTAGCGTTTCAGAAAAAAATAGCAAGCTTGGAACTTTATTAACAAAATACTTATCAAGAAGAAATGTAATTTACAAATAGAATTTGGAATGTGTAATTGCTTTGCTCTATGGTTTTGTATGTACAGTCGCGGATGTAAGGTTGTCGTCCACGTTCCATTTTCGCAAAAAATGTTTTGTTTATTACGAGACAAAATCCGTCTCTTCCTTCAAATAGCCAATATCAGTGAGTGCAAACAAAAGGATTAGCTGTATCACCAACGATGTTTTTCGTACAAACACATTTACAGCATTGTATTGGTTTTTTACGCGTCTCGTGTTAAAATGTTCAAATGTTCGCAGCTTTTAAGGTGGAATATAAACAGTTGCCCCGATTGTATGTGGCAACAACCACACACACCTCTATGTTATTGACAATGATTCGCTAACGTAAATCTCAAATAAAGTCAAGAAGCTACATGTTATAATTTTTTTTTTATAACATAAGGTGGCAAACGAGCAAGCGGCCACCTGAATCCACCGAAATGGAAAGCGACCGCTGCCCATAGACATTTGCAATTGCAGATGCGTTGCCTACCCTTCATTGACGGAGGAGACACGCACATTAAGAGGACATTTACCCTTCCAAATCCACTTTTCCTTCCCATCCTTTCTCTTAAAAAAAGGGTGGAAAGGGAAAGAGACTAAAATTAGGCCTCCGGCACCACACTCATCAGACGAAACGTGGATTTGCATCCACTTCACGCCTGTTTTCTGTGTGGTCGTGATATTACACCGGGCGAGCCGGCCAATTCGTGCGAAGAAGTTAAAGCGGACTCTACCACTGTTATTTAACTAATATTATGTCAAATTTTGTATGTATCTATAATCGCATTAAATAAAACTTTATGTTGTCTAATGGTCATATTGCCCATACGTTCTACGACTGATATAATGCACCGCTATTTATTCCAATGTATTATTTACTACGTTACTTTTAGTTGAAAAAAGTAAAAAAATAACCTCAACAAGATAAACATCAGCTAGATAAATATATGATGCGTAGTGTGCAGATTATATTGCCGCCAAAAGCATTAGCAACAGTGTTATTTGTTTTGCATCACGCAGTCAAATAATGTATAAGTACGCATGTTTTTAAAACACAATCCGGCCAAGCTAAAAACCTAGGTAACTATAAAAAGGTTTTTTTTTAATTTTTTTTTATTGCTAAATTGCTAACTGCTTTTAGTGATGTGCCAGAAAATACTTTTAAAAATAATGTACCGAGAAATAACTTATAGGAACTTTATCTTAGAATGACATCAATATCACCCATATGTGTATATTTATTTTAAAAACATTGGAGATAAATGTAATTTAAAGTATTGGAATACTAGACTGTGTCTTAGTAAACCTATTTGTAATAGATTAAACTACGAAAATAACGCAAACACAAAAATGAAAACAAATTTAAGTACTTACAGTTAAAAGAAATTAATTTTATCCGCAAATATCACAAAATAGACTGTACTACACAAACTTTACGTGTTTTTAAAATGAATTTTAAGTAAGGTACGCTTCTTCGAATGAAATGTTTGACTAGCAGTGAATTCAAATTCAAATGTTATACCGCAAAGCGGGAACTTAATAATAATCCGATAAAATTAAGATTATCACTTTTTGCAAGCGTTATGCAAAAGACACAGGTAGTTTTAAACTAGTTGGATAGTATATGGAAACTACAAATCGACAAAAATAACGGCATGACGTCACCTGAGTCGAGTTTGCTTTGGTAGTCCAAGGCCGGGTTATTTCTCCCTAATGACATCACTCGTAGTCGATGCGTTTACATTTTGTAATTTATCTCTTGCCCTTGACTTTATACAAAACATATATTGATATTACTTATTTGCAAGTCTCATTGTTATTGTAATGCTACGTAAAATGATTATGGATTTGAGTATGGTTCAGGCCAAGTTTAATTTTAAGAGACATAATTGTTGATCTTACAAAAAAGTAAAGAGTAGAGGGTGGAAGTTTATCAATTCGATCGAAATTAATCAAAATTAACGACGATCAAAATTAATTTTTAAAAGTGTAATTTGCATGAAAAAATAAAATACTTCTTGAATTAAATATCCATAGATAGTGGCAAAAACCTAGTATTTAAAGCTAGCAAGGAGACAAAGAAGTAGCGAAAAAGAAAACTAAACGCCAATTTAGATTTAGTTTGTCTTTGACTTGAATTTGGTGTTTTGATTCATTGTTGTGCGCAACTTATTGATCTTTTTTACCGAATTTAGAGAAAAATGAGTACTTCAGAAACGAAACCGGTGTTCCGTGATCTCGCCGGAGACGATCCGGAGCCAGAAGTCACTGAAATAGAATCATTTTGTATGAATTGCCATGCAAATGTGAGTAGTTAATTACGATAATTCTAGAATTATCTGCAAAATTCTTTGTTATTTTGTTTTATTCAATTAAATTATTCTTTTCATTCACTTATTATACATTAACTGTCTTATTAGATGTTTAATACATCCGGTTATTTAAATATTTTCTAGAATTAGACATTAAGAAACATAACCTTTGAAACATCGTGTTTTCTTCAATTTTTGATTGTTAACAAAGAAAATGTTGTATTCATTTTACGTAATAGTCTTTCCAAAGTGATATTAGATATTTATCAACGATTTTTATCAATTTAATTATAATAACTAAACTTATTCTTTTATCATAACAATTTCTATATTTCAGGGCATGACTCGACTTCTTTTGACTCGTATCCCGTATTATAAGAACGTAGTCATAATGTCGTTCAGTTGTGAGGCTTGCGGGTACGAAAACAACGAGATCCAGCCCGGAGGAGCATTTGCGGAGCTTGGGGTAAGGTGAGAATGCTGTTATATGAATATTTTTTTTGTTAGACAGGCAATTATTGTGCCATTACATAACTCTAAAGTTTTGAATTTACAATATTCGTAAGATAATAAAGTCTATATCATAATAATATTAGTATAGTAGAACCTCGATAACTCGAACCTTGGTCACTTAAGACTATAACTTTAAAAAATAATATGTTCCCTTCCCATCAGAGCTCAAAACCTCTAAATCATAGACACTTGATAACTTCAAATATTTTGTGTTTCCCTTGGACTTTGACTAATAAAGGTCCTACTGTATTATGTTTTAGATGGAAACTAAGAGTGGAATGTCAGTTGGACCTTAACCGCCAAGTTGTGAAGAGTGACTACACGGGGGTGCGGATACCGGAGCTGGACTTTGAGATACCCGCACAGAGTCAGAAAGGAGGTTAGTTATGCAATATTTATATAGATGGGTGAAAAGCTATTTGTTTTAACCGCCATTTTAGACAGAAGACAGGTATAATTACACTAGTTATTATAATAACTGCATTGACGAAGTCGCGGGCAACAGCTAGTTATATATAAAATCTTTACTAAACATTGTCTTCCAGAGGTAACTACAGTGGAGGGTATAATAGCTCGTGCGATATCCGGACTCCAACAAGACCAGGAGACACGTAGACAGGAGCACCCTGATGATGCAGCCACAATCGATGAGTTCGTCACACGATTGCAGGCATTAAAGACTGTGTCTACCCCCTGGACGTTGGAGCTTGAAGATATCAGCGGTGAGTTAATTTATAGATACAGCTTGTTACAGTAAAGAAAAGATGTGTCAAGTGATAGACGCCTAATCATTTCATTATAAGGAAGGGGAAGGGACATGTATTTGGCAGGGGAGGAGATTAATAGGAAATAGTATCTTTTTCTGCATCCACTGATTGAATTTAGTGCACCTGTAATTGAAGATATCTATGACGCCATCGTCGCTATTTTGGCGAATTTGGCTACTTGCTTTAACATTTTTGATTTTAAAAACATAAATATGAGAAACTAAGATGAAACAAGAAATTAACTTGATAAATGGATAAATTAAAAAAATGTCCTTTCTGTTCTCTCTTCAGTTCTTTTTTTCTGTCAATCATGTCATGTCATGTCATGTCAATATTATAAATGCGAAAGTTTAGATGGATGGATGGTTTTTAGAGTTTGTAGCCTTAACGGCTGAACGGATTACGACGAAATTTGGCATAAATGTAGAGGATAGTCTGGAAGAACACATAGGCTAAGTACTTTTTATCCCAGGAATAGTTACGGTTCCCGTGGGATTCATCAATTTAGTTTTTCAATGTTTACTCGATCATTCTGCAACGGTTCAACATATCTTATTGAAATTTGGCACAGATATAAAACAAAGTGTGGAGTACACATGGGATAAGGTTCATTCCCGATAAATGTCCGGTTCCCGCGATACGTAGCTTTTTGTTATTTATATAGTTCGTATGTTTTCTAATACAACGCGGAGGAAGTCGCGGGCAACAACTAGTAATAAATACAACAGTCCAATTCCCATATTCTTTGTTATGTACAAAATAAACCAATTGATATTATATAAGATTTTTAAATATTACTGCTTGTTGGCAGGTAACTGTTTTGTAGAGAATCCCGAAGCCCCGGCTAAAGACCCGAGATGTGAAAGAACAGATTTTAATCGCAGCAAAGAACAGGATCATACACTTGGGATATTCCAACAGGAAGAGGTAAGAAATTTATTTAATAAAAGTAACACATATGACACTCGGACAACCAAATTACAGCATGCAGTCTGATATGTGTGCCGGAGGCCTAATTTCAGTCCCTTTTAACAGTGGTAGTGCCCGCTTTAACATCTTCACACTGCAGGGCTCTCAGCAATACCACAACCACACAGGCAAGCGTGAAGTAATTCCGCTGTCTGATGAGTGTGGTGCCGGAGGCTTCATTTTAGTCCCTTTCCCTTTATACCCTTCTCATAAGAGGATGGGAAGGAAAAGTGTATTTGACAGTGGAGACGCATAAGAAGGGGAAGTGCCCTCTTTATGTGCATCTCCATCAATGAAGGGTAGGCAGCGCAGCAATTGCGAATGTTTATGGACAGCGCTTTACATTTCGGTGGATTCAGGCCGCTTTCTCGTTTGCCAACTTACATTTTAAAAAAATATCTCACTAATATTATAAATGTGAAAGTTTAGATGGATGTTTGTTAGAGTTTGTAGCATAAACTGCTGAACGGATTTCGATGAAATTTTGCATAGATGTAGAGGATAGTCTGGAAGAACACATAGGCTACTTACTCTTGTTTTTTTAATTCTCGGAGTCGCGAGCGGAAGCTAGTCAGATATAAGCGTAAAGATGTATTTATGCTAAGTATATAAATATTTTTACAAGCCAACACCCATCGAATCTCCAGATAGTCTGTTAGAGTTTCTTGACGTAAGTATGTCTAGGTTTTAATAGTTTTAGATCTTAAAAAATAACTATAGCTATTTTTACTACCGCTGGCATAGGAGATATTTTTAATAAAGCCAGCTTTATTCGCTTATCTACAGATTTTGAAATAGGTATAAAATTTATTTTATTATAGCTTGTTATTAGCTAGAAGCTTAGGTTTTATAGTGCTCTTAGGTTTTCTTTCTGTTCTCTTATAGGGTAATAATAATCTATACGAGTACTAATATTATAAAGAGGAAAGATTTGCATTTTTGTATGTATTGAAATAACTCAAAAACTACTCTGCCGATTTCAAAAATTCTTAAAGTAACAAAGTTACCTTATCAGAATAAGATAGGCTTTTTTTTATTTATTAAGTAGAGATAATGTTTTGGTAGAGTTCGCTTTAATATCTTTGCACTGTAGGGCTTATTGCAATACCACGACCACAGAAGACAGGCGTGAAGTGGAAGCAATTCCGCATAGTCTGATAAGTGTACTTGATGCCTAATTTTAATCCCTTTCCCTTCCCACCATTTTATATGAAAAGGATGGGAAGGAAATGTGGATTTGACAGTGGAATTAAACTCTTTATAAGCGTTTCCATTGACTAAGGGTAAATAGCGCATTTGCAATTGCGGATATGGGCAGCGATCGCTTCGCTTTTCTGGCGAATTTAGTTAGCCGCTCATTTGCCATATTATATAAAATATATGGTTTTAGATACACGGTATAACAAACGGTCTAGCACAAAGTAAGATCGAGGCTGAAGCTGACTTCTATGAGAAGATGGCCTCGGAGGAGGTGATGCAGTTCAAAACGAACTGCCCGGACTGCAACGCTCCCGCTGAGACTAACATGAAAGTAACAAGTAAGTAACTTAATACGACTGTTTTAGTAACTTCAAACATCTATAGTTTGTCTAAATAAGATAGATTTATTTGACAATAATAGGGATGGGTTGTGTAAAATCAGTCATGAATTTAATCGATTTTTATTCTTATAAAAGTTGGAATCGATAGATTTATAGTTATAACTTATGAATTAAAACACTGTTTTCTCAAATTAATGACCATAACAAATAATGAGTGTAAATAAATGTTTATTACTACTACAGTACGTAATCGTATTGGATTTCGCTATTATTTCTGTCATCGCTAAATTCTCTACACTATAATCAATACTAGAATTGTCCTCTAAATTAGTTAATAAGAAAATAATTTTAGTTAAGTAATATACTAGAATCTAGACTTTAATTTAGCTGTTATTTCCAGATATTCCTCACTTCAAGCAGGTAGTTATAATGGCTACTGTTTGTGACGCATGCGGACATCGCACTAATGAGGTAAATACCTAAATCCTACCCTAATAAGGGGTGACTAGGACAATCAACCACTCTCCACTGCGGGTTGACTTCACACATATTTGAATTTCTTCACAGATATGCATCATGATGTTTTCCTTCACAGTAACGTCGGGTAAATTGTGTACATACTAGCTTGCGCCCACGACACACACTTTGTTTTAGATGTCAGCAATTACAACATATTTTTGAATAAATCTTTTTTTAATAAAAAGCCCTACATGTCACGCTTTAGGTCATATATTTTCACGACAGTAAACTTAGGGTGTAAATATTTTTAATAAAAACCCTAATGTGGGAAAGAGACCATAAGTTGCTGCCAACATCAAGGAAGTAAGATTGCCAAGGTTTGTCATGTCATTTTGACAGTTGCTATTGATTATTTGACAAATGTAAACAATAAAATATTTTTTTATAATTTCATGCGGACGAAGCCGCACGGGAACATCTACTGATGGTATAAAATGCTTAGTCGGGAAAAACATGTATTGTGCGGCGTTTACACTATACAGATATTTTTATTTTAACAACAAACCATGTAAGTATATCCGTGTGCCGCAGGTGAAGTCGGGGGGCGGTATAGAAGACAAGGGGGTGAAGTTCGAAGTGCGGATAGCGAGTAGGGATGATTTCTCCAGGGATGTGTTGAAGGTAGGTTTAGGTTATGAAAAATGTTTCTGATATAGTGATTTAGGTATCTTATGTGTTTGTACACTTTAGTAATTTCAGTAAATTTCCAGAGTAGTGTTTGTAGTTATTTTTGAAATTCTTATGTTAATTTCACATTTTTGTAAAATTGTTTTAACAGTGGTAGTGCCCGCTTTAACATGTTAGCACTGCAGGGCT